CCACAATTAAGCTATAAGCTAGAGGTCTACACTATGTTTTCATCATATTTGTTTGAATCAATATTTGTTATCAAAGTAGGTTTAGGAGATGAGAGGGATTCCTTGGACAAGAAGATTCCTTGCGAGAACACGATTAGCTGCCTCGGATGGATGAAAACCGTCCCAAAACACGTAATTGGTAGCATTCGAACATGTACCGACCGATCTTGCATTGCATAGGAACGAAGTTTCCATTGTTCCGGTTCCACAACAAGCCCTTCTTGCTTCAAAAAACCCTACATTTTTAAAACCAAAGTGAAAAGGTTAGTGAAACAACAAAGAATGTTGGGTGTTAGTCGTCTAAAGGTTAATGTTGGGCTTTAATAAAATTTGGAAGGAGTTTGGGTTACGATCTTTTTATAAAAATTTGATGGTTTGTCTGGTTAACCGGTTGGACAACAACCGGAAGGGAACAAAGAAAATGTATGTTGGGATTTTAGTTTTTGAATCCATTGGTTAACGTTATGTTGTCAGTCCAAGGTCTTACCCCGTTCAGTTATTTACCATTCAATGTTTTCGGTTAAAAGAATGTAAAAAAAAACCGTACCGTTTTCGACAGGGTTCATGACCATGTTCAAGAGAGGAGTGTAGATGTCAAAGACGACCAATTTCAGACCGGGAAGTTTGTTGGTTAAGTATATAGACGTATTGTTGAGTTTGGTATTGAAGGAAACCGCATCCCGGTTTAGTCTTTCGACGCACGTATTGTTCCCGGCTTCAGTAAACATCGTTATGGCAGCCGGTAAGCAACCTAAAGGTGGTAACGTCGTTACTCCAATCTTTCTAGCCCCTAAACCATATAAATTCTGCCACAAAAAGTGCAATTTTTTACCATTGGTTAAGGAAATTCAAAGTAGACTGGGAAGTTTATTGGTTAAGCTTACTTGGATAAACTTGGAATAGATGTTCATGAGACGATCTGAGTATCGATCAGGCGTGACAATCCGGTTAAGGATCGGATTAATGTAATAGCTTTGAAGAAAATCGCTTGATCCCGTGCTTAGAAGATGAATCGCGCCTGCGAATATCTCGTTTGCTCTGTCTCTCCCTACCATGTTCGTCACTTTGCTTTGGTACTCTTTGTAGTTTTTCAGCTGTTGGTTCAATGTGATTGCGTTCTACAAAAAATAACATATAGTAAACCATAAAATGTTAAAGCATTCCCATTAACTAACTTAATAACCGGATTAAACCGTGCTTAAACTCAACAATTAATTAATCAATCGGTTTGAGGATATTACGTACATATAGTAGGGCAGTTGCATCGTCAAAACCGGAAGCAGCGGAGGCAAAATTGGCTCCGGTTAACAAATGTGTCCCATTTGCTTGTTGGCTAAGGTAGGGCACCGGGTAAGAAGTGAACCCTAGATACTCAGCTGCTC